AGGGTGTCTGGGTAGTGCTGTGGAAGTGTCAATGTGGATCTTTTGGGGGAGAGAATTGTGGACTCTTCCCTAACAATGTAATGTCTTTGTCAATGATGGAAACTTGTGTCTCAGTGAACGATTGAGAAGCGGAGCTGCTGCTGTGGCCTTTCATCAGTAGTAATGATAACACTGCTGCTAACCTCATGATGCCTGGCTGGGTGATTATTGGATTCTGCTCCAGGATTTGGGGGGGGGGAGGATTGTGGAGGGGGAGTCTGAAGGAGGCTGGAGTGGGGAGGGGCGGGTGGATACAACAGGTCCTGGGTTAGGGCCTTCAGAACAGGCAGAGAACTGCCTAGGGGCTTTAGGTGTCAGAGAGGAGCTTTTGGAGGTCAGAAATATCTCCCCTGGTACTCCGCCCTCAGTCTTCTTCTTGGGAGTCCCCAGGAAATTGTTTCAACAGCTTCAGGCCCCCCATCTCAAGATTGGCTGATTCTACTTTCTCCACCCCCAAAGCTCCAGGAAAAGGTCTGTCTGGGGGAGGGACTGGGAAGAGGAGTGAGTCAAGCGAGTGCTAAAAACAAACCTGAGGCTCCTAGGCTGTCTCTCACTCACTGCTCAAAACACCGGAGCAAGGGAAGTGGCACTGTGAGCATTTGTCCATGCAGCAGTGGGCTGAGAGGATAAGGGACTTGCCCAAGCTCACACAGCCAGAAACTGGCACTGTTAGGATTTGACTCTAGATCTGGCTAACCTGCAGCCCACCCTACCCGAGTCTCTTCTCACCGTGGAGGGGATGAGACAGTCTGGGAGGAATCCCTTACTAAATGAAAAGGGCTTACAAGGGGGCTAGGAAGCCTTTCCCAAAGCAGTTCCACTCAAGTTTATAGAACTGTACACCTACGTCCCTAGGTGGCACACCCATCGAGGATCCCAGCTTTCAACCACAGAGACAGTGGGCAGGAGGTTCAATCACAGGAGAAGTCCTCCCTCAGCCTCAGGTGCTATCCAGGAGCTGGCTAAAGCTGGCTCTGCAGTGACTACAGGTTCCCAGGCACCACCCTTTCCTGGCACAGCCCTGACCTGGAAATCCATGGCACCTGCTCCTCCCTACCTTCCTCCCTTCCTGCCCCACTCAGTCCTTGCCCACCCTCCAAACAGGCTTCACCTCCACCCTCACTCCTAGTTCCCACCCATCACAGTCTGGTGCCCTGCCTGATGGCCTGTTTTCCCCTCTCCAGGGCCAGCTGAGCGGCCCAACCTGTGGGGTCACTAACAATGGTGTAGTGAGAATGTCATACACCAGGTGGCAGCACAAGGTAGCACCCTCACCTGGTGTAACCTGGTGCCCCTTCCTGCAGAGGGACCATGCCAGGGAGAGGATACCAATGCTGATGGACACCTTCTGCAGACATGTGGACTATGTAGTCCCAAAGTAGGACAGGAGGGACTCAATGAAGGGACCAGTGAAGGACCTGCATATGGGGAAGCCCCGAAAGAAATTCTGCCATCCAGGTTTGAGCCCCTGAGGCCAGAGATCCCGGTGGACTCAAGACTAATCCCAGACAGTGGTGGCCACGAAGTGACTTCATTCTCAAGGCAAATTGGCTTGTGGAGTTATGTCCTCCTCCAGGGCATGACAAGGTGGGTGAAGGAGGCAGCTGCTCCAGTGAACTCCAGCAGGAAATTCTGCTAGGAACACTGAAACTCTGCAGGCCTAGTCCTGGTTCAGGTGTGGAAGCTGGTGACTGGCACACAGTGCCCATTAATCCTTGCTTTGAAAACTCCAGAACCAGGGCAGGCATGGTGGTATATACCTATAATCCTAGCACTCAGGAGGCTGAGTTTGAAACCAGCCTGGGCTATATAATGAGACCCTGTCAAAAAAAGAGAGAGAGAGAGAGAGAGAGAAAAATGGGATGAGAGGATATGAGAGGAAAAGAGAGAAGGGGAGGGGAGGGGAGGGGAGGGGAGAGGAGAGAAGACTCCAGAACTGGGAACAGCAGCCAGGCTCTCTTCGTACTTGCCAATCAGATGGGGAGCAGCAAGCAGCTTTGCTGACGTCATGAGAGGACTAGATGACCCTTCCAGGCTGAGTCTGGAGGAAATAGGTCCTGCTGCTTGGAAGAAGAGAAGGGGGAGGCAGGGTGTCAGAGCTGGAGCCTAATATAGAGGTGCTCCCAGCCTTTAAGGGGTCAAGAGGGCTAAAAAGAGTCAGGCAGTAAGATGGAGGGTGCTTTGCTTTTCCTACACTGTCCTCCCTGTTGGTTTGTCTCTGTGGTAGCCTTTCTGTGCCTGGGTCTCCCTCTCCTCCTTGCTCTGCTATCAGGCCTGCACTGAGCTCTACCTTGAACTTATTTTTTCTCATCACTTCCTAGCCAGGAAATTCCTGGTGCTGGGCTCCCCTCGGATGCTCACTGGCTGTTCAGCACATACTCTGTTCATCAGCCTGGAGCCACAGTCAGGTGGAAAAAGAGGATGGGGCATGGGCCTCCAATGCCCCATCTTAACCTACCATCTTGGTTCTGAAAACAAAAGTGGGTGGGTAGTGCCCACTGCCGTGCTGTACCTAATGACACCGTGGCCTCACTACCTATGACCTGTTCTTAAGAAATGAGGCACTGGTTTAGTCAGTCAACAAACACTTCCTGGGAACCAACTTGGCCAAGTACTATCCTAAGTGCTGAGGACACAGTGATAAACAAGACTCAGTTTCTATCTTCAAGGTGTCCACAGCCCTCTGGGGAGGCAAGAAAGACAACCAATGGTTACAATACAGGGAGGGGGATGTGTGGAGGAAGGGCTTCCTGGCCTAGAGTTGGGGTGGAGATGATCCAAGGATGGCTTCCAGGGATGCAGGGGGTCTTGAGGAAAATCTTGAAAGATATAATAAGTAGGGTTGGCTGGACATAGGATGGGATGTGGGTGTAGGGAAGAGTCTGCCTGCAGCCTGGATGGTGGTCTGGGAGCAGGAGACCACAGGAACTGCATCCTTCCTGAGCAGCTATATCCAGAAGACAGAGGCTTCACTTTGCCTATGTCAGAAGACGCTCTGGGGCCCTGGGCAAGTGGCGAGATGTCTCAAGTCCTAGAATTTCTTGCTCTGTTGAAGAGACCAAAAGAATAACACCTTAGGAATACAGTGCTTATTCTTCAAGGGCAACGGACCACGTTCCCTGAGTGGCCAGGAGGGGTGAACCCCCAAGGCTTTAAGGGAGATGGGGAGGTGAGGATTGCCAAGGGCCTCCACCTTGGTCTTGAGTCTACCACCCTTTACCGCAGCCCAAGGAATACAATGGGTGGGGTGAAAGGGGATGGTGCTTTAGTTCCAATACTAAAGCCAGACTCAAGGATCCTGACCCCAAACTGGAGCTCTAACTGGAGTAGACTGCCTAGATGACCCTAGAACTGGAAGGTTCCACATGGAATCAGGCTGGGTTTGGGCTCTCAGTCTCAGGAGGGGGTCTTCTTAGGGAGCTTATCTCCCAAAGGGCCCCAAAGAAGGTCTTCAGTTCTCCCCTAAGCTTATTGTCAGCCTTCCAGGTTTATCTGATGTCCGAGGCCCCACAAGCCTAAGAGAAGGAATGGGAGAGGACAGAACTGGAGGATGCTGGCAGGTAGACCAAGGTAAAGATGCAAGGGCACAGGGTTCTAAAAAGCCTTGACCAAGGTCAGCGGAAGGCTTAGAGGGAGATTCTTAGCTGCTTAGGTCACAGAAGCCTGGACCACCAAGACAGAATAGAGTCTAGATGATAACTTGTCCAAGTCTCTCCAGAAACTGGGTCCCAGAGACATCAAGGACTTTGCTGAGGTCACAGAGTACATCTGTACTCCATGCCTGAGGCATGGAGGGGGATTGTAGGTGATTCTCTCCCTGCCCTTGGGGACCTCTCAGACTAGCAGAGAAGACAGACTCTTCACAACTAAATATATCCTAAGGCACCCTGTGACACAATGTGAAAAACTCTGTAAAATCTTTGGCCCAGAGATGGGGGTGGAGGAACAGAACAGGGTGGGACAGACAGAGGGCTAAGAAGACTTTCCTAATGGAGGGGTAGAGGTCCCTAGTCCACCTGCCTGGAAATGGGGAGCCTTGTCCACCCCATTCCATGCTGTCTGTTCTGATAGCCCATAGGTAGAGATTTCTCCATTGAGGGAGGAGGAAGCTAGCCACTTCTGCACTATTTTGCTGGCTGCCTCCCATACCTGTGCTGAGGAGCCGATGAAGGAAGCTTCTTGTCCCGAGAACCCTGCCTGGGAACCGTGTATGACCCCGGACACTGCACATGGGGGCAGGGGCAAGGGGGTGCGGAGAGAGGGAGCAGGGGATGAGCTGCTCATGACAATCCTTTCTCAGCCCCTGGAAGGGGTGATGAATTTGGCTTTTGGGACCCTGTTAGGGAAGAGGATGTAATCCTGTTATGAAAGGTGGACGGATCCCATATGGCCAACCTGCGATAAGCGGCAGGTCACAGACCCTGAGGCCATTTTTATAGACGGAGGAATGTAGAGCCTGCCCCTTCAGAAGAGGGCGCTAATGAGAGCAATTTAAGAGGACCACACAAGATGGCTAGTTGTTCCTTAGCAACTTGTGAGGGAAAGGTAGCATTCTAGATTGTATGAGCTCTTCCCTTTTTCAGATGAGGAAATAGGTCTAGAGATGATAAGCAACTTTAGGAAAGAATTTTTTTTTTTTTTACAAAAGGAAAATTGTTAAACCCCTCTCTGTGTCTCCCTGACTCATCCGTCATCCCCATAGAGTAGTCTGAATGAGGACACAAGTGCGCTCTGGTGGCCTTTGGGAAACAGATTCGGCTCCAGGAATCAGCATCCAGAGGAGCATCTCTTTAGCACAGCCCAGGGGACACTGTATTAACCATCCTGCACCCTTGCCCCAAGTTCCTCCCTGCGCTGCAGTTTCAGGGTCATTGTCGCAACGGGCTGGGACGGGAGAACCCAGAGTGCCTGGGGGTAGGGCTCGGCGGGGCGGGTCTGGGCGGAGCGCGGAGTCAGAGGCGGCTCCCCGCGTCCGCTCTGCTGCCCTGAGCCGGCGATCACCGTCCTCGCCGCTGCGCCTCGGCCACATGGACGCCCTTTGCGGCTCCGGGGAGCTCGGCTCCAAATTCTGGGTAAGGCGCGGGACTCAGGGGCCTCTGCGGCGCGGGTGGAGTCCACCGGAGCCGTCTGGTCCCCTACGCCTGCCTTCCCACTGGGCCAGCAGGTGGCAGGTGTCCTGGGAGGGAGTGCGCGCAAGGCCAGCCCTGAGATAGCCTGGGAGCCCAGGAGTAGGCGATGGGCGCCGAGAAAGGATCTGGCCAAGCAGCCCGAAGCGTCTCGGCGTCGGGGATCTGCCTTGTCCTGCCTTTCCTTGCCGCGTGGAGGAGCTCTGAAAAGCAGGCGTGAGGTTCCTGTCGGGCGCAATGCATGGCACCCAGGAAATCGGGAAGTGCCCTAGCTGGCCTGATCGCCCCAGCCTCTCTGTTGGGTTGGCCGCAGAGTGCGGGAGCACTTAGCAGCTTCCCTGGCGAACCCTCCAGCAACTGGTCCTCTGATTATGGCTTGGTTGTCCACCCTGCACCCCTTGCCCTGGGATTCCCCAGGGCATCCAGAACCTCTGCTCAATCAGGGTGACTGGCTCCCTGCAGGGCCCCATCGTTTTGGGGAAGAGTTTCTGGCACCATTTCTTTGGCCAAGAGCCACCTGGCTGCAAGTCCGTGGACTTAGGAGAGAGGCGGTCCCACTCTGGAGACAAGCCCTTACAGGTTCAGAGTATCAGAATTCCCTTAGCCAAACCCTCTTCTCTCACGGATGGGAAAAAAGGAGGCCAAAGAGGAAGCCACTTGCCCAAAGGCACACAGTTCCATAAAGTTAGAGCTGGGATTTAAAAAAAAAAGGCAGGCCTTTTGTAGAAGTTTAGCTCAGTTGTATGGATTTTTTGCAATTTGGGGCAATAAAGTACCTGTAAAATAGTATCTTTGGGGAATCTCTCTTTTTTCTCTAGGACACTAAAGAGTTAATCCAAGATGATGCTATCTCCCCATCAGTATCTTTCTTACTCCTGAGCCTGGACTAAGTCACCCACACCAGGGTCCAGAGGTTGTATCTTTGGCTTAAGAGTATACCTCCTTTTCACTGCTCACTTGAACCTGACTGGTGGGGGTGGGATGTGGTCATGGTGCCAGAGATAATCAGGCTTAAAATTCAAGAAGGAGTTGTGCAAGGACCCTTGTTCTAGGGTGACAGTGAAACTGTGGGTGCTTAGAACTGAGCAGGCTGTCCTCATGGAACCTGAAGTTGGAAACTCAGAACTCCTTTCTTGTCCCAAGTTCAGGGACCGTTTAGCTCTACGCTAATGTGTGACTGTGGAATCAAAGAGTGTCATCAAAGAGTATGAGGCCTTGCAGAAACTAGCCCAGCCTCTTATTGTCAGCACAGAGAGAAAAGTCACCTGGCTGGTGTGACTGTGGTGTGGTCAGGGTACCATGCTATTGCCTGTATAATTGGTTATAGAGTGCTGGACTAGGAGAGAGGAGCCCAGGTTACGGTGCCAACCGCCAACTTCACCATAGCTGGCTGTACCTTTGAGCCACTGGCCTCCAAACTTCTCTTTACTGTGCATAAGCTGTAGGTGCCTCCTCTGAGGACCTTAGGCACAGCAGGAGTGAGAACATCTAGATCCTGTCTACCTTGCATGGTCTTACTTGGCTACTTTCAATGACAGGGAACTCTGTTCCCCTGCCCACCCCAATTTCCAAACACCTTCCATCTCCTTGGTTCCTGAAAGCTGTTCAGGTGGCTGGGGATTGCCAGGGGGTGTGAAGAAACCAGAAAGGCTCCCCTGGTTGGCTCAATCTGAGAATCTTCATTGCTGACATGAGGGGGGCTCTCAGGCCTGGAAGATGGAACCTGAGCTATAGCTTAGTTACCCAAAATGCTGAGATTCTAGGCAACTCATTTGTGTCTCGATTTTGTGTGTGTGTGTGTGTGTTATTGGGGTTTGAACTTAGGGCCTCATGCTTGTCAGGCAGGTGCTCTGCCACTTGAGTTATATCTCCTGCCCTTTGTTGCTTTAGTTATTTTTCAAATAGGGTCTTGAGTTTTTGTCCTGGGGCTGACCTCAGACAGTGATCTTCCTACCTCTGTCCTCCCATGTAACTGGATCACCGGCCCAGCTTATAGATTGAGATGGGGTCTTGCTAATTTTTGGCCCCAGGCTGGCCTGGAACTTCAATCCTCCCAATCTCTGCTTCAGAAAATAACTGAGATACAGATGTGAGCCACCTCACCTGGCCAGGTGACAATGCTATTTTGCATCCCATTTGCATTGCATATCATTCAGGTAACCTATTTGTGGGAAGTGGCTGGGGGCAGCCAGAAAGTACCTGAACCTGGAGGGAAAGGGTGGGAGGGATGGGGTGCTCAGGGCCATCTGGGTTCCTTGGTTACCAAGCCTTTCCCTGGCTTATTCTCATGGTCTTGCTTTCTCCACCTGTGGAGAGAGAAATAATCCACCTTGAACTCACCTGACAAGATTTTTGTGGGGATCAAGTGAACTAAGGAATGTAAAATGATTTTGAAAACCAAGAAACTTTCTTGGCAGGTCGTGGTAATTCTGGGAAGAGGAGGGGGGACAAAGAGAAATGAATTTAGCAGGAATGTTGGACCTGAGACGTCCTATAAGAAAAGGACTGTTGGGTTGAGGCTCCCACTTCAGCTGTTTGCTGGGGAGCTGGTGCGGGAGTGGGGAGGTTGATTTTAGCTAAATCCATCAGCCTCAGTCTCAGTCCCAGCTTGCTATGAAGATAGGAGACTGGAGGGCACCTATGACCCCCTGGGCATATGCATACATACACCTGTGCACTCACACACATCTCTCTCTCCCTCTTCTTACTGGGCATGTTACCAGCATCTCTGAGCATGCCTTAAAATTTGTATGGAAATAAATTCCAAAAGAGTGGATTGTGGGACCAAATTACCTCACTACTCCTGAGGCCAGAGATGCCTCTAGAACAAAGGAGGAGGTTGTAGTTAACCTTTGCTCTGCCCTGCTGCCCCCTGCCTGGAAGACAACTCTGTTGTGTGCTTTAGAGGTTGGACAGCACTCAGTGAGGTTAAGAAAGTACAAAAGAAGGGGCTGTTTACTCTCAGGAGGAATTGGCCTGTTTGCAAAGTTAACCTTGACCTGCTGGCCCCAGGAAGCTCAGAAATCCAAAGATCCTGACCATGAACCTGTCCAAAGATGGCACTGAGGGGGGGAGAAATGGCCCAAACAATGTATGCACATGTGAATAGATGAATAAAAACAAAACAAAACAAAAAAACCAAAGATGGCCCCGGCTGCCTGATAAGTAGTGAGTTACCTGTCACTAGGGGTGTATAAGCATTTGGTTAGTGACCACTTGGTGGGGATGCTGGAAAGGATTCAAGCCAGGGAGGGAGGTAGAGAGTCCTACCTTGAGATTCTGTGACCAGCCGGGAAGAAGGAAGGGTAGACAATGGGGAACTGCCAGACTCCTCTTTCCCTGACCCTCCGGCTGATCCGAACATGAGCTTACTTAGCAGCAGCTATTATCTAGGCCCATGGATCCCCCACTGGTCAGGCCCGCATGGGACTTGTGTCCTCACTACTTCCTTTTTTTATTTTTTTTTAATTTTATTATTCATATGTGCATACAAGGCACACTCACTACTTCCTGAGCTGTTTACCTACCCCAGGAAGGCAAAACCTTGCTCCCTTGGAGGCCCAGCTCTGTATTGCCTCCTCTACTCTAGCTAGTCCCAATTCTGTCACCCACTAGCTATGTGACTTTGAGGGTGTCAGTTACTCTCTGGGTTGTAGCTGGGCTTGGGTGGGTTCTGCCCCCTCTACTCCCTGAGGTCTGGAGTCTCCCAGTAATGATTCTGGGAGGATGACCCTTGGGTTGGGGCTAAGACCATGATTAAGACCTTTCTACTTTTGGGTTCCACGTATCAGAATCTCCCAGGCCTCCTCTTGGGTTGTTGTCTAGCATGAGGGTCAGACACCACACTGTAACAGACAAAGCTCACATTTCAATGTGTTTTGGCTCTCAAATGAAGTGAGGGACATGCAAAACTATGTAGAAGCTGGAAGTGGCAGTGGCAGTGGCAGTGTTCCTAAGGTGGACAGATAGGTGAAAGGTAACCACTCCTTAGCCTGCTAGGCACCTTCCAGGAACCTATCCTCCCCGTCAGGCTAGGGCTTTGAGTATCTCCTCTTTCATCCTAGATGGAGATATGGAACCTGGTGCTAAATGGCTTTGATCTCTGAGCTTTTGGCTTCTGACTAAGAGATATGATCCCTTGTGACCCTACACTGGCTTCTCATGTCCCCTGGGCCTGGGCTGAAGGCAAAGACCAGAAAGGAAGTGAGTCAGGGACATGGCTTGGGGGAGTGAACTTTACCAAGCCTGCTGGCTGACCCCAAACAAACAAACAAATAAAAAAATGGTCTTGGAGTACCAGCCAGCCTCCAGGGAAGGTGGTCCCAGCAGGGACTACAGTTGACCTACCTAGGAGGCAAGGACAGAGAGCCTGGGCTAAGTACACCCCACCACCACTACCACATACATTATGGGGCTGTTCCAGGGGCAGAATCCCTGCTGTGGGACATAGGACTGAGTGTACCCTTTCTAGGTTGGCTGGGCCATCCCTTCCCCCACCAGGAGCTGCTCTTATTTCTGAGGCTGGTCCAGGGAGCCCCATGCTGCTGGGTAGGGTGTGGTGGGAATAGGGGCCTACCCTGAACTGGATTTCTCCTAACTGCTTATTCTGGTTTTCAGTCCATTTCCCTCCCAGATCCCCCAATGGTCCATTGCCCAGGTGCTAGAAGCCCTGGTCTATGGGAAGAACTACAAAACAGAGAGACACCAGCGTAGGCTGCACCTTTGGGAGAGCTGAAGCCAATGGTGTCACTCTGGAGCCTTATAGGGTACAGAGGGAGCAACCCATGAACCTGTGGGTAGAGATGACTGCCTGCACTCAAACCCTGTATCAGCCATGGGTCTCAGATGTTAGGAACATTACATGATAATCCTGACACACAGAAGTGCTCAATTAACCAAGGCTGTTGTGGGCTGGCAGGCTCCTTTTAGGAGTAGGCTGCCCAGTC